CGGCCTGTAAGGATGTCCCGACGCCTGCTCCCCAGGGGGCCCCGGAGCTTGGCGCCCCGGATCCCTGGCCGGTGGCCGCGGGGCCCGAGAACGGGCGCCCCAGTGGGCCGAGATCGGAGGAGGAGGAGGAGGAGGAGGAGGAGGAGGAGGAGGAGGGGGAGGAGGAGGAGGGGGAGGAGGGGGAGGAGGAGGAGGAGGAGGAGGAGGGGGAGGAGGGGAGTGAGGAGGAGGAGGAGGAGGAGGGAGGAGGAGGAGGGGAGGAGGAGGAGGCACACCGCCCCGATTGGACAAACACCTCGTCGGAGAGCCGGGGTCTCCCGTCTCCGGGCGCCTCCCTCGGCTCCGCCCGGCGCCCAGCCGCCAGGAGGGCCGCGGCCAGGCCTGGGGGGACCAGGAGGTGCCGGTGCCGATGGCGCCAAAGACCTCTCCTGGGGCGCGTTCTGACCAGGACTTCGGGGAGAGCCCGGCCGTGGTCACGAGGAGTCTCCAGGACGAGCAGCGGCATCGGTGTCGCTTCCTCCTCCGGAGGCCTTCGGCGCTGCGGCAGGCAGTGGCAGCCTGGACGGCCGCGGCCCCGCCGACGCTGGCCGCGACCTCTGGCGTGTCGGGCGGCCTCTTGGGACGCCCGAAAGCTGTGCATAGCATGCCCCAAAAAACCTGCGGGGCGGGCGAGGGTCCTGGTCGTGGATCTGGTGTACAAAACTCCCTCCCGGGGGCGTGGTTTGTGTAGTTACTGAACGTGGCCCCGTGGGGTGGAATCTGGCACGGGTGGGGAGGGCTGTGGTGCACAAGAAAGACTGACAAGGATTTGGGACCCCCGAAGAACAGATGCGGGAACAACGGACGCCCGGAGAAAAGATGCGGAGACAACGGGCACGATGCCCAGCAGCAGATGCTGGCCCGGACCGACGGCGGCCGCTGCTGGGCAGGCGGCCTTCTGCCCCTCGCAGCGACGACGCCCGCGGCGGCACCCACGGCGAGCCGTGGGCAAGATGGACAGCGAGCCTGGGGAACACCAGGAGGTACTGAGACCGCTACTAGGCGGCGAGCCAGGGGGGAAGTGAGAAGGGGCGGGCCTTCTCAGAAGGCTCGGAAGTCCCCCGGGCTTCTGAGAAGTTTTCTAAGCCTTCCCCGAAGACACAAAAAAACTTCTCAGAAGCCGCAAGGACTTCTGAGAAGTCCCACCGCCTTCTGAGAAGCCCTTCTCCTTCTCACTTCCCCCCCTCGCTTGCCGCCGAAGGCTACTCCTAGGGACCTCTCCCAAGGTGCGTCCTGACCTGAATTTCGAGGCGAATCCTGGCGGCAGCGACGAAGGCCTCCCGGCAAGCCCAAAGAGGCGAAAACGAGGCAAGGGGCAGCGGTATGGGTACCTTCTCTTCCTCTGAGAATTGCTGTCAGCCTTCGTCCTCACTCTTTCCGTGCATCCGGTGGCAACTCATGGGAGCCTCCCATACCATCTTGTCGGCTCTTGCGGATCGACGCTAGTCGACGATACATCGACACTAATCGACGCTCAATCGACGCTGATCAACGCTAACCGACGCTGAATCGGCGCTACCTCATCGACTCCCAGACGCTGATCGACGCGAGCCGACGCTGAAAACGGACTTACAAGGTACACCAAGCTCCCATAATTTGCTACCGAGCGTACCCATCTCGATCGTACCCTTAGGGGTCGGGCATGTCCTCCTGCAGGCGGACTTTGGAGGAACAATGAGAAATAGTCAAACCAGATTCAAACATAGCCAAAAAGAGTCGAAACATCGTTCCCATACTTTTTTCCCCACCAATTTTTGAACCTTCCTCCTGTAGAGGAACATGCCCGACTTATAATCGTGCCCATGAGCATCGTTCATCCGATCCCTATCCCCAGCGGCGTGGCCTGGGCCCCACTGGCCGATTTACCCCCCCAGACGGGGCTATGGGCCGCTCCCTTCGGCTCTCGAGGGGTGTCTCCCCCACTGGGGGGGGGTACCTTCGGTGGGGGCCTCCAAAGGGGGCTGCTGGGGATGGGGGTCGCTTGAAACGACGCCGAGCCCAGGCCTGTCCGCGACCTCCTCCCGCAGCTCTGGCCGGCCGCTGCCCACCTCCGGGGCGCCCGCCGCGCCCGCGCCCGCTCCGGGCCCGCCGGGGGCGGCCGCGGCCGGCGCCCCCCCGGCGCCCGGCGCCTCCGGGCGCGGCGGCTCCTCGCGCGGAGCCCAGGGTCCCGCGCTCCGAGGCTTCGGTCCCAGAGCTGCCCGCGTCCCCAGAGATCCGATGTCGTGATTTTTTCAAGACGGGGCCCCCGGAAGTCTCGACCCACTCCCCAGGACCGGTTGTTCATCCTGAGTCGTTTTTTGACAGTCCCAGGGCCCGGCGAGGGCCGCTAGGGGCCGAAAATTTAGAAAAACCTCCGTCTTGATTTTTTCAATACGGGAAGCTTTTGGCCATTTTCGGCCCCCGGGGGCCCTCGCCGGGCCTCGCGGGACCATCAAGAAGCGACTCAGGACGAGAAACGGGTCCCGGGAAAGGGTCCCAGACCCCCGACGTAATGATTTTCTCGTGACGTCGACCCCCAGAGGTCTGGACCCTTTCCCCATGACCGGCTTTGCATCCTGAGTCGTTTTGTGGACGCTCCCGAGGCCCGGTGAGGGCCCCCGGAAGCCGAAAATTAGGAAAGACATCCCGTCATGATTTTTTCACTACTCGAGGGGGTCTGGGGTCGGAACTTCCAGGGACGCCGTCACGAACAAAAATCAGGACGTCGCATGTCTGGGGTGGCAGCTCACGGGAGCCTCCCGGGCCATCTTGTCGGCTCTGGCGGATCGACGCTGGCCGAGGCTGGTCGACGCCAATCGGCGCTAGACCGAGGCCCGACGCTCATCGACGCTGGCCGACGCTGAAGCGGCACGATCTCATCGGCTCCCAGGCGCCCAGACGACGCCAAAGACGGCATTAAAGAGGGTACACGCGGCTCCCATGACATGCTACCAAAGGAGCCCAGACAGGACCCAGATCTCCGACGACATGTTTTTGTCGGCTGAGAAACAGACGAACGAATATATATATATATATATATATAACGGCGTTGACTTCGGATCCGCCGTGCTCTGGTTCATTGTCCGACTCGGCATCGGTGTCGGAAATGCACGCCAAACGAGATGAGCAAGTAACGCAGAAATTGCGGCCTCTGAAGAATGTGGCGAAAATTTCCGCAGAGATCGGGCGGAAACAGCGACGGCAAAAAAAGGGCGGAAATCAGCATCAAAGGAGCTTGAAAAATGGGGCGGACATTTCCGCCCTACTTGCGAAATCGCCCCAAATTACAACGGATCCGGAGTCTGGGTGATCGATGCGTTTCACCATGAGTTCCTGCAATTGGGAACGCTCCAGAGGGCATCTACAACCGGTGGTGGGTGCATTCGGTGCTACGCCGCTATAGTTCGCAATATTCGATGCGCATTTACTTGTTGCATGGGTTTAGATGAGCCTGGATACGAAGAGATAGGTGTAGATGTTGGTTTAAAGATGTCTGGATACGAACGCTCCAAAACTTTGCTACTTCTCGATGCAGTGTGAGTTTGGGGTGCGGAGAGATGCGCTTACGTACGGTAAGACAGGGCGGCTGGGCGCACTTAGCGCGAACATTCGCTTGGAAACAGAGGATACTTTTAGATGCGGCGCCACCACCGCACGATGAGCAGAATAGCGACGAGTAGGATGAGGAGTGCGACGAGGATGGTGAAGAGGACCAGGAGAAGAAAAGCGGAGGAGGAACGCCAGGAAGGAAGGAAGAGGATGGACGTGGGCGAGGACGATTTGGATGAGGGAGAAGGAAAGCGGATGGATCTGAGGCCTCCTCCGCATCCTCGTCTGTGCTCCCCACTTCATTTCCCACTCTCCCTACTCAAGGCTCGTCGTCTTTCTGCTGACGCTTCGCGTCCGTTTCCACTCTGCCCCACTCCTCCCCGCTATGAAATCCCTTCCTCACCGACCACTGTAAACTATGATGAACAAGCGTCGCCCCTCCCCCTCCGCACCAACATCACTCCTCCTCCTCGCTGCTCCTCCCCTCCTCCGCACCATCATTGCTCCTCCTCCTCCTCCTCCTCCGCCTCGTCCCTCCTCCCTCCTCCTCCAACCTTCCCCTCTTGGGGTATGACGCCTTTCCTTGCCGGCTGCTCCACTTCACGCTCCTTTGCATTTCTGATCAGGGCATCTCGCTTGGGCATCGCTTCTGGATGGGCCAGCGGGATTACGCAAAGCGTCTAGATAGTTCATGCCTCTGCTGTGTTTACTGATTCGACGTATGTCGGCGTCTCGACTATGCCTCTGGCGCTCGCCAGACTGGCAAGCGGGCTTCTGTGCCGCTCCTCCCCGGACCTCCCAGGCTCGAGACCAGGACTCCGAGGCGCATCCAGCCGCGTGACGGCGAGGGGCATCCGTGTCGGGTATCTATGTGCACCCCTGCTTCGGCTTCACTCCAAGCGCTGTTCTTGAACCGTAGCCCAGGCCCTGATATACGAAGATTCTAAAAACAAGAGCAGCTCCAAGAAAACGCCCGGGGTCCAGTCCAGATTCCTGAAGCCCTCATGAAAACTCATGCGCTGCCTGCACATACATATCTATATATATATATATAGAGATGTCTGTCTGTCTGTCTGTCTGTCTGTCTGTCTGTCTGTCTGTCTGTCTGTCTGTCTGTCTGTCTGTCTGTCTGTCTGTCTGTCTGTCTGTCTGTCTGTCTGTCTGTCTCTCTGTCTCTCTGTCTGTCTGTATGCATGTATGTGTGTATGTATGTGTGTATGTATGTATGTATGTACGTACGTACGTATGTATGTATGCGTGTATGCATGCATGTATGTATGCATGCATGTATGTATGTATGTATGTATGTATGTATGTATGTATGTATGTATGTATGTATGTATGTATGTATGTAAGTGTGTATGTAAGTATGCATGCACATATTTATACATAAAGATATAGATGTGTGTTGTGTGTGCTCTTCTCCCCTGAACTCCTGCGCCGAGGCGAGGAAGGCCCGCGGCTTCTCGACCTCGGTCTCTTCCTGGAGGGACAAGAGACGGCATGACCAGAACCTCGCGGAGGTCCGCGCGGAGTTCCTGGATCGCGCCAGAGCAGGCGCCCGAGGCGCCGCCAAGGGGCCACCAACGCCGATCCGAGAAATCCGCGCAGACCTCCGAGACGCTCTGCCCGTGCCGTCGCTTGCTCTCCGCCGTCCGGACCGGCGCACGCGGGCTCCCTCGCTGGCTTCTCCGCCTCGGCCTCGGCCTCTCCACCTCGGCCTCTCCCGGCCTCGGCCCCTCCCGGCCCCTGCAAGGCCCACGGCTCCTCCGCCTCGGTTTCCGGCTCGGAGCACACGGGCTCCCTCTCCGGCTCGGGCATGCCCGCCCCCTGCCCGGGCTCGGGGCCGCACTCGGCCGCGGCCTTGCCGGCGGCGCAGAGGGCCTCCTCGACCTCCCGGGGGCAGGCAGCCTCGGCCGCGGCCTCGTCGGCGGCGCGGGGGGCCAGAGCCTCCAGCGGCCCGGGCGCCTCCTCGAGCTTCCCGGGAGGGGCAGCCTCGGCCGCGGCCTCGTCGGCGGCGCGGGGGGCCAGAGCCTCCAGCGGCCCGGGCGCCTCCTCGAGCTTCCCGGGAGGGGCGGCCTCGGCCGCGGCCTCGTCGGCGGCGCGGGGGGCCAGAGCCTCCAGCGGCCCGGGCGCCTCCTCGAGCTTCCCAGGAGCGGCAGCCTCCGCCGCCAGGGCCTCCGGCGGCCCAGGTGCGTCCTCGAGCCCCCCGAGAAGGGCGGCTAGCGCCTGGGCGGCGCGGGAACAGACGGGGCCCTGGCTCGCCATGGCTCGGACGTCCGTGCCCCGCGCAACGTTTCGCTGTCGTGTGTGTGTGTGTGTGTCTCGTGTGTGTCTCGTGTGTGTCTCGTGTGTGTCTCGTGTGTGTGTGTGTGTCGTGTGTGTGTGTGTGTGTGTGTGTGTCTCGTGTGTGTCTCGTGTGTGTCTCGTGTGTGTCTCGTGTGTGTCTCGTGTGTGTCTCGTGTGTGTCTCGTGTGTGTGTGTGTGTGTGTCTCGTGTGTGTGTGTGGGTGGGTGTGGGTGTGGGTGTGGGTGTGGGTGTGGGTGTGGGTGTGTGTGTGTGAGTTGTGTTGGGTTGTTTTGTGTTGCGTTGTGTTGGGTTGTGTTGTGCTGTGCTGTGTTGTGTTGTGTTGTGTTGTGGTGTGTTGTGTTGTGTTGTGTTTGTGATGTGTTGTGTTGTGTTGTGTTGTGATATGAATTGTGCTGTGCTGTGTTGTGTTGTGTTGTGTTGTGTTGTGTTGTGGTGTGTTATGTTGTGGTGTGGTGTGGTGTGTGTGTGTGTTTGTGTGTTGTTTCGCAAGATGGTCCAAGATGCTCCTCGATGGCCCTCGCCGGGAGCAACTGCACGCGTCCGAGCGATGCCAAGGTGGCTGACGGGGGAACGTCAGGAGGCAAGCTAGGCGCGGAGGGGGCAGGATGGGGAAACACCGACCTTGAATCGGCGATACGTCGCCGATAGGTCTTCGACGGGCCAACGATAGCGAGGCCGAGGATTCCCAGAGGTCTGGACCCCTTCCCCGAGACTGGTTTTTCATCCTGAGTCGTTGTGTGACGGTCCCGAGGCCTGGTAAGGGCCCCTGGAGGCCAAAAATTGCCAAAAACACATCCCTTCGTGATTTTCTCACAACGCGAGGGGGCCTGGGATTGGCGATGAATGATCTACTGGGGGGGGATGCTTGCGCCCCCTAAGCCTGTCCCCGTCCCCGATGGCTTTCGGTCCACAACTCGAGCCCTCGGCAGCCACTCGGGACGGCGCGGGGTCACCCCTGGACGCGGCGCCGAAAGGCGTCACGCCTTTCGGCGAGGCGCAGCTGCCGGAGAGCATCCCGAGGCCGGAGGAGCCGGCGAGAACCGACGAAAACGCGATCCCGGACATCCGACGTCTTGATTTTGCAATACGAGGTCCGCAACAGTCCCAACCATTCCCCAGGGCTGGATTTGCGTCCTGAGTCATGTTTTGATAATCCCGGGGCCAAGCGAGGGCCCCTGCCGAAAATTACGAAGATAACTAAATCTTGATTTGTGTGCCAAGACGTTGGATGTCTGGGATTGGGGGTCGATGCGTCCCCTCCTGAGCCATACTTTTACACATTTTCCGACCCAATACTGTGTCAAACATGCACCTCAAACGATGCGACAAAGTCGGAAATGCAAGGCGGACAGTTCCGCTAAATACAACGTAAACAACGACGGCAAAGTAGGAAACCGACATCACAGAAGCTTGAAACATAGGGCGGGAATTGCTGCCCTACTCGCGAAATCGCCCTAAGTACGGCGGATCTGGTGTCAGGGAGGGGTAGGAGGGGGGGGGCGCTTGCGGACGCGCTCGCCGACTGGGCCGCGAAACAGCTGATCGCCGTCGGTCTTGGCAGGAGGAGGGGGAGAGAGGCGAAGGAGGACGAGGGGGGAGGCGGATGAACAGCAGCAGCAGCAGCACGAGGGAGTTGGAGGAAGAGGAGGAGCTGGAGAACCATGACCTGCTCTAGAACAGGGGCATACCGTAGACGGATCTACCCTTCTCCGACCTTGCATTGCGCATTGGCACAGACGTTTCGAGCACGGTACGTGTTGCGCATCAAAACGGGCGTATCGAGGCAGCGAAGGACCGAGGTGCTCCAGTGCAGCGTGGGTAGAGAGGGGCTGCCGCCAGCGCCCAACGCCCGCCCACGCAGCTTCTCGCTCCTCCGGGCGAGTTCCCGCGCGCGCGCACCCCTCGATTCCCACGGCGAGGTTTGGGGCTTTAGGGCGGTTTCGTCGGTTCTCGGCGGTTCTCCAGCCCTGGGATGCGCTCCAGCAGGTGCCCCTCGCCGAGAGCAATCTGCTCTCTCAGATGAGGGGGGAGGAGGAGGAGGAGAAGGAGGAGAAGGAGGAGGAGGCGGAGGAGGAGGAGGAGGAGAAGAGGAGGAGGAGGAGGTGGGGAGGAGGAGGGAGAGGGAGGAGGAGGAGGAGGAGGAGGAGGAGGAGGAGTAGGAGAGGAAGAGGGGAGGAGGAGGAGAGGAGGAGAGGAGAAGAGGAGAGGAGGAGGAGAGGAGGGGGAGGGGAAGAGAGGAGGAGGAGGAGGAGGAGAGGAGAGGAGCAGGAGCAGGAGCAGGAGCAGAGGCGGAGGGGAGAGGAGGAGGAGGAGGAGGAGGAGAGGAGGAGGAGGAGGATAGGAGATAGGAGGGGGAAGAGGAGGAGGAGGAGAGGAGGAGGAGGAGAGAGGAAGAGGAGGAGGAAGGAGAGGAAGAGGAAGAGGAAGAGGAAGAGGAGAGGAGAAGGAGAAGGAGGAGGAGGAGGAGGAGGAGGAGGAGGAGGAGGAGGAAGGAGCAGGATGAGAAGCCGGAGGAGGAGGAGGATGGGGGAGGAGGAGGAATAGGAGGAGGAGGAGGAGGAGGAGGAGGAGGAAGAGGAGGAGGAGGAGGAGGAGGAGGCAGAGGAGGAGCAGGACAAGATGAAGGAGGACGAGGAGGAGGAGGAAGAGGAGGGGGAGAAGGACAAGGAGGGTGAGGAGGTTGAGGAGGAGGAGGAGGAGGATTCTATTCTATTTTACCTCTGCGCGTGGTGACCTGCTGCTGGGCGGGGCACGCAAACAAATTCACAAATTCATTCATTCATTCATGGGCATAAAGAGGTCAGCCAAAACGGAGCACGCCTGACCTCAAAACAAAATTCACGAGCGGGGCCTCGCCCTCATCCTGGGCCAAGGCACCCCGCACTCCCCGCCGCCCAGAGCCCTGGGTCATTGCAGAGGGCTCTTGAGGGCTCGAGTGGCAATCCGCAGGCCGTGCCCCCAAGGGCGCCCAACCCCCGCCCCGCGATCCCCCTGGGGCCCAACTGAAATGGGCGACGGACGGGTGGGGTGCGGGCGGGGGGGCACGGCCAAAGCTGAAAGGTCCGAAGAGAAGGCTCGCGGCCTCCTCCTCCACAACAATGCCGTCGACCACCCACACAAGGACGACGCGGCCTGCCACCCCAGGCGCAGGGAGCGCCTGGACGGTGGCAGGCCACGCCCCAGATGTGGGGTATGCACACGGATGCCTGCCCTAAGGGTCAGTCGCATCGGGCCGTGCGCGATTGGCAGGAACAAGTTAACACACGCACTCGCTGAATGCACTGGGCAAGTGCTAGGACGCGGGGGATGGCCGTCTCCTCCCTCCCAGCTTGAACTTAACTGCCACGGGCGAGACCATTAAGTTGGGACTGAACAGGTCGCACAAAACTCAAAATACCATGAAACATGAAATCACAGGCGACGCCAGGACGACAGAGCCAAGAAACCCCAGGTGTGCCTAACCCTGAACGGGGGGAGGAGGAGAAGGGGGGGAGGAGGGAGAGAGGAGGAGGAGGAGGAGGAGGAGGAGGAGGAGGAGGAGGAGGAGGAGGAGGACGAGGACGAGGACGAAGACA